ATATTACACTGAATGGACATGTTGACCTCCCCAAGATGGCGTCACTAAATCACATCGGGGCCCACAGTCGATAGCGGTGAATGCGGGGTCTACTCTGATATTTAGTCTATGTTACATCAGGATAACAGAGACTGGGTTTCTGTAACGCCGCACCTCGCCGTCGTCGTTCTGCATCACGTCCAGCAGGTGGAGCTCCAGCAGCGTGTAGACCTTCTGAGCCGTCAGCAGGTGCTGCGTCTGGCTCAGCTCCCCCAGGCTGAGCAGCAGGGTCCGGGTCAGAACCAGGAAGGGCGCCCTACCTCTCAGCCCGGCGCTCCGCTGCTCCTCCACCAGAACCAGAAGTTTCTCCAGCTGTTTCCCAGAAACACAAAGGGTTACATCCAAGGAAAGGTCCGGTATTAGGATCCACAAAGAGCCACTCACAGCGTCCCGTTTGGAGAAATGCTCCATGTTGGTCAGGTTCTTCGTCAGCGTGGAGACCAGGCGCTGGTTGGCCAGGCCCACCAAGTCAGGCTCAGAGCTCCTCTTCATCACATCCTGCAGTTCTGGGAGCAGAGAAACTGTTCAGATTAGGCCTGCAACTAACCTTTAATTCGCTAAAGAAGATTTTATACCGATTTAAAACTAAAACGTTTCTGGATAGAGCAGATTGACAGACGAAAATATATATATATTTTTTATCCTAAATGCTAAATTTTTATATATTTTTTACAATCTTGGTATAATTCCTGCTCTAAGTGGGTCGCTCTTTCAGCTAAAGACAGGTTTTACCATCTCTATACTCCTGTTAACATAATTAGTTGACAATTATGTCAATAATCGATTAATCAGAGGAATTATTTGAGCCTTAGTTCAAAGTGTGGTGGGCGATATATTGAATATACTCGATGTTTCTCCACACATTATAGTTAAAATGACTCCATCGCAACCATCCAGTACAAATTACAACATTAAGCCGTCTGCATCTACATCACTGAGTTTAATTTTTCCCACGCTTTGAATGCATCATAAACCCCTCTTCCAAACAGGATTATTTTCTTGCACTCTTCAGCAACCTGCAAACGAAATATGGCGACAGCAGGTGATTCAGCTGACATACGGCAGCGGTTTGGATTTGGCGAACAAAAGACGCCGTAAAACCATTGCTGCAAAAGGCAGCAGTACAAATTTATTCCACCCCCTACAGTCATCGGCTGCAGAATGATGAATGTTGTAAACTCTGCATGTCAGCGTCTCCCTGCTCACCAGTTAAAACGTTCAATCGATCAGCCGTGAAGCCGATGGCGTTGGCCTCGTCGTTTTAAAAAAGCGATCCAAGGAACAAGGAAGAGATGGAGGGAAACTACAGACACTATTTAAGACGTTATTTTTAAGATGCTCTAATACCTGCGATGTTCAGAGGTTTTCTAATGTTCTCAATTTTATATCTTTTTGTGCTTCTTTATAATTCCCAGCAGGTAAAGATCAAAGCTGATAATGATCTAACTTTTGGACAGGATTTCCATTTTTATATTATGTACAAAAGAGCCTTTATTTTCTATTTTATTTAGTATTGTGTTTTTGCTTTGTTTCCTGTTTGGTTGATGGGATTTTGTTAAACGTTTAATTTTAACACCCAAAGACATCATGTGTCAGAAAAGTTTTTTTTTCTTTAAGGTAATTTAAACATATGATGATATATATCGTGTATCGTTATCGCCCAGTCTTAGTTCTGCTTTTAAAGGAAATTTCCGTTCATATTCAGAATTCAAACTTCTGAAAGTTCCTCATTCCTCGCTGACCAGACTTTTCCTTTAAAGGTTTCCATTTGGCCCAAACACCCAGGAAGTAAAAGCTTGCATTGCCGATGCTTTTAATGTGAAAGGGACACAGGAAGTGGTTGGGTTTTCCACCTTGAGCCCAGCCCAGAGTGAGGGGGTGCTGGCTGAAGATGGCGGATTGGGCGATGGAGGCGGCCAGTCCGAGTTCAGCCGAGGTGATGACCAGAAGGGGGAGGAGCTTCCAGCCTGTTTTCTGCATCAACTCAGCATCTCCGTTTCCCAGCCGGCCGTCGGACAGCAAACGCACCGCCTCCGTCAGCACGGGCATCCTGGAGGAGACAGGAAGCACTCAGTGACTCGTTCTGTAGAGGGTCGGATGAATCTAGCATCGTTAGCTGACTGACCACTGCTGAGCGGACGGGCGGACTCTGTGGAGCAGCGACAGCAGCCATGACACCACGTCCTCCGGGTCCAGGACGTCCAGCAGCAGCTGCAAAAAACAACAACAGTGAACGTGGCATCATGGAGGAACGAACAGAGAGGGATTCCTCTAACGGACCTGCAGGACGCGGAGGGCGGCGGAGACCACTTCTGGGACGTCGTCACTGAGGCGCTCTGCGACGGCGTCCTTCAGGAACGTTTGGTCCAAGGTCTGCTGTTGGTCAGAGGAGACACGACGGCGAGACGTCAGAACCGAGCTAACAGAACGGGATCCAGGACCTCAACGCATCGGTTTTCCGGATCTACCTGCTCTGAGCTGATGAGGCTCATCAAATGATCCACAGCCGCCGTTCGGACCGAAGGCTGCGGGTGCTTCAAGCTGAGGAGCAGCGACGTGTCCGAGTCGTCTAGAATCTGACAGGAAGACACAAACTCTCAGGCAGGAAGTGAAAACACGCCTTTCTCTCTGCAATAATCCGAATCTCTGCACATTTTCTCCATTTCCTCTGAATTCTACCTGGAATTTCCCGCTGCTGACGAACAGAGACAGGAACTGGTGGAAGAGACGCTTCTGCTGCGGGTCGCTGTCGACCACATGACCAGAGAGCACGGCGTCCAGCGCGTGGCAGTACCTGCAGGAGGAGAAACGCTCAGCGAGGTGGGAGCATACATCTAATGACGTTACATCACCAGTAGGGGGCGTACTTGGACTCGAACAGCCGAAGCAGAGGCAGCAGGCGCTGATCCAGGGCCGACATGTCGGCGGCGGCGAGCTCCGTTTGCTTCAGATACTGATCCAGGAGCAGCCTGCAGCAGGAGGGAAAACTGGGCTCAGAGATTTAAAACCAGACTCAGGAGGTCTGAGAAGGTTCTGGATGCTCCGTCAGGACCAGGATTAAGACGTGGACCGGATCAACCCAGAGTGGAACGGAATCACTCTGATAAACCAGAGTCTGTCGCCTGGACCGGAGCGCTCTGCCATCTATCAGGTCCAAAAGGCCCAGAAACCAGGTGTTCTGCGTGTGTCGCAGTTAACGCAGATGTGCCCTCCCCGCTTCCGCAGAACCTAAATGAAGTTCGCCCCCCCCACCTACTTCAAATCAGATAAAATTTGTGTCAAACGTTTCTGCTGGTTTGTGCAGAAAAAAAATTGTTTGTGCCGCTATCATTTTAAAG